CCCTTGGAAGAGTTTTGCGGTACTCTTTTGTAAGAGATTTACGGCCCTTGCGACACTAATAGGTCATATAATATATGTGAGGCAGCGTGGTGGAATCAGGCTCTCGTCAATTTTTAGGCGTGCAGAGTTATTGGTACCATATTAAAGCTAGTTCACTTGTATTTATTTGGATGAAAAAAAATCCAGTTATCTTGAATACAAGAAGAGATATTTGGGAAAGAAGGAGGTGGAGGTCACTTGTTTTCAGAGGTAAAATTAATGAGAAAATGGCAGCCAAAGATTGGTTATTTTCTTAGCTAAAGAGTCCGTGGTAACTGAAAATTTACATTTCTTGTGCCTTTAATATTAATCAACGTTTTCCAGAAAAATACTCACAGAAATGAGTTCTTTAATGGGCATGAAAGGTGTTGAGGCAAAACACAAAAAATTGATAAAAATTCACAAACATGTGGAAAAATGCAAGTTCCTTCACTTTGATTATTTTGACGAGAGCCTGAATCCACCACGCTGCCTCACATATGCCGAAGATAAGAGGTGCTACTAGAAAGTAACATTTCATGGTATATGAGCAAGTGAATGAGTTTTTCGACACTTTCAACATTTTTTAGTAATAGTTTTACGGCACTTGCAACACCAATAGGTCATAATATGTGCCAAAGCTAAGAGGTGTTACACGAGAGTAACATTTCGTAGTATAGGAGGATACTGTGGACGAGTTTTAGTTTTAGTAAGATTTTACTGTACTTGCAACTCAAATAGGTCATTTATACGCCGAAGATAAAATGTATTACTAGAGAGTAACATCTCGTGGTACAGACGTCAGTGGACGAGTTTTACAGCTCTTTTTAGTCATAGTTCTAGGGGATTCTTTAGTGAGAGTTTTACTGTACTTGCAACTGAAATAGGTCATTTATACGCCCTAGATAAAAGGCATTACTAGATGGTACAGACGCCAGTGAACGAGTTTTACAGCACTTTTTAGTCATAGTTTAAGGGGATTCTTTAGTGAGAGTTTTACTGGACTTGCAACACGAATAGGTCATAATATAATATGTGCCGAAGATTAGAAGCGTCACTAGACAGTAACTTTTCACGATAGAAGAGCCAGTGGACGAGTTTTAAGGCACTTTTTAGAAGAAAAAAATTTACTGTACTTGCAACACGAATAAGTTATATATTTTGTGTCGAAGATTAAAGGTGTTACAAGAGAATAACATTTCGTGGTACTGAGGCATGTGAATGAGCTTTACGGCACTTTTTTGTAGGCGTTTTAGTGTATAGCAGTGTGTGTATTCGTGTGCGTTTGTGAGTGCGTGTCTGTGTGTGTTTGTGTGTGTGTATGTGTGTGTGTGTTTGTGTGTGTGTGTGTGTATGAATGTGTGTGTGTGTGTGTGTGTG